AAAAAAAAAGGAAAAAAAAAGCGACCAAATAGGGTCGCTTAAAAAAAAAAAAAAAAAAAAAAAAAATCTTTTTTAAAGGTTGTGATTTTAATCAATGGCATACTTGCAAGAGCAGGGCAGCAGGCATTCCGACAATATTGCTCCTCCCAATAACAACAGCTCTCCTTCCCTTGATAGGGACATCATATCTACGCAACAACTCTATGCACCCTTTGGGCGTGCATGGAACAAATAAAGGTTCTCTATCTCTCATGGCCAGACGGCCAATATTCAGAGGATTGAACCCATCGACATCTTTCTCGATACAAACAGCATTTAAGATGTTCTGCTCATTCATATGCTGGAAAAAAGAACACCATCAGATTGCTGTAGTTCATGACAAGGAGAAGCAATTCAAAAAAACTCGAAAGGTCAATTCTTAGCTCCTCCCCATATATTTATATTTTTACATTCCTGCTGCAATTAACCTTGATTATCATCAATTTTCACCCTTGCTTAAAAATCTTAGGCTTCTTCTTAATGGTTATAATTTATTTTAGATATCCAGTACAGCATTCATGCATATTCTGGACCAACATGTTTACAATTTCTTATTCTTATATTTATTTATTTACAAGCATCAAAGAAGAAGAAAAGTATGAAAGAAACAAAATACAAAGGTTTTTGCAACATTTATTTTCTTGGCAAATAAGATTCACCAGGAAATATAATAAATGGATTTGGAGGCTTACAGAAGGAAGAGGCAACTGCACGAGTATACCATTAACTGAAGGATCTTCATTGAAGACTGTGATATACTCGAGCACTTCTTGTTCAGAACAGTTTTCATGCAAGTGCACTTCAAATGACTTGATACCTACAGATTCGCAAGCTTTCTTCTTGTTTCGGACATAAGTCGCAGAGTCTTTCCTGTCTCCAACAAGAATAACAGCCAGACCAGGAACAATCCCAGTAGACTCCTTCATCCTTGATACTTCAGTAGCTATTTCCTCTCTTATTTGCTTGGCAACTGATTTTCCATCAATAACCTTAGCAGAGGCCTCGGTGGGCATTGCAGCTGCAAGAGATGCATAGAGGGAACAATATCAACAATACACACTTAAAGAATTCTAGTTAATAAATAAAGGGGAGGAATAAAACATCCACATACAAAAAAAGGCATTTTGACTCAACTTCAACATTAACAAGCTCAAAATTTCCAAGTTCAGTTCAGTTCGGAGCCCACTCAAGTCATTTTAGCTCTCCGTATATACCAACTATAAAATTTACACTAGTGATATTTCGAAATGATAAACAGGAAAATAAAGCTAAAAGAGCTGAAACACACTGAATTCTCATATTATCAACACAAGAGGAACCCGACTCATAACTCACTCATCACGATCAGGAACAATTCCATCTACTAAATGTCACTAGCTAACACCAATACCAATCCTATTTTTAGCAAATATCTACTGATAGGTTACTCCATTTCATGATACATGCATAGTGCGTCTATTCAGTCCCATCAACAGCATAACACAGCCACAAGAGTAAAGACCAATTCTATCCGAAACGAAATCAAATCATAAATTCCGAGCAAACAGGTGGATCAAATCTTGTATTTACCGTTTACAGCTGAGGAGGAGGAGCATAAAGGGGCGAAGGTACGAGCTTGAGCACTGATGGTACAACTTGTTCTCAGAAATGCAGAACAGCTGCGCGTGGGGCGCACGTGGAGGTTGGCAACAAGGGAAGCTCTGCGCGAGCAGCTATCCGAGGCGGAGCTGAACATGGCGGTGGAGGTGGTGGCAGAGGAGGCGGCCATTTTGCGACCGAGGGTTTGGAGCCGGAGTCTCGGCCCTATACTTGCTGTATTGATTTATTGATTTGACGTAGAATCGAATAATCAGGGTTTTAGAAATTAATGGGAAAGGCAAAAGGCAAAGGGACCAAGAGTAAGGTTCTAATGCATTTTCTTTCTTTCTTTCTTTTCTTTTTTATATCCCAATATCAAGGAAAATTGAATTAAATCATGCAGGCATTTGGAAAAATCGTTCTAATTACAAACATCACATCTCCATCATTGGATCAACAAACATCATATCTACTTGATTGTATATGATCCAACAATAAATTTAAAATGAGAATTAGTTGTCTAAATATATGTGAATTTCATGAGAATTAGTTGTCTAAATATATGTGATAAAGCTCTGATAAAATGGACAAAACGAAGTGGTGTATAATCTGCACGAAAACGACATATTAATTTCATGAATCGTGTACTAGATGGCATCTCGAATTAATGTGGAAATGGAAAAGAATATAAGTGAAGTGAAAACAAATGGGCGGAAGAATAAAAGCATTACGAATAAATGATATAAAATAAAATGATTGATATAAAAATAACAAGTTAGTAATTATAAATGTAGCTGTTAAAAATATGTAAGCTAATCAAAAATAAATTTGTTTTATTAAAAATATGCATACAAGTGATTAATTTATATTTTTTACTTGTATTGATAAAATTAAAAAAAAATATATATAAATAAATAAACAGTAATTTTGTTAAACCAAATTTATATACTTCTAAAAAAAGAAAACTTAATTTATTTTACATAATATATATTGGATCTGTATTTGGGTGGCTTTTTAGTATCAGTGTATTACATTTAAACACATCAAAAAACTAATGCGTGTATATCAGTATATGTTGATTTAACTGCCCTGCTCGAACCCCACAACCCAATACGAATTTGCCGAATAGAAGTCAGTCAAGTAACAAAGCTATAATTATAGCCTCAAAATAATAAAATCCTATTTCTCAAATAAAATTGCCTGGACGTGGGAAAAAAAGGTACTATCACCAAAATATATGGAACCAAAATGATGTACTATTCATCATTTTTCCAAACCGGGTTCTCAGTTTCCAGCAGCTGTGTTTTCATGTACATTTTTTTTTTTTGGGCCCCAACCAATAGAGTGAGTACAAACGCTAGTTACGCTATACAATGTTCGTGTGAATTTTTGTTTCTTTGTTGTCATGAGAAAATGGGATATTTACTTCTTTTCTACCCTGCTTGTATGTACCTAAATGTTTCAAACTGTCAGAGTTCCTTCAGGTAAATGCTCGTCTACAGAATCCAAAGGTTGAGATTTCGGTTTTGTCATCATTCGTGAGAAACCGTACCCAATTGAGCTTCCACTGGTTTCAGAGAGCTGAACAGGGACAAACATTATGTAATCAGGACCCATGGACTGTTCTTGTAGGTATAATTAGTAAACCGGATAATCATTATAGTCTAATTTTAGCTAATTACCTACCTAAAAAAACTCAGTTAGCTTTCAAAATTAGGAACAATCTATTAGTTTTTATACTAAAAATTGCATTTATTGCACGAGATAATTTGTAATTTCGAAGACAAACTAGTATATGTTTTGAGATTATTTCTTAATAAAAACCTACATCACTACAATTGTTTGTGTACCTCTGTAAGCTCAGAGAGATGGCGTGATCTGAACTCATTAACGGTAGCTGCTATCTCTGACATTGGCAGTTTCGTCTAAAATAAAAAAGAAAAGAGGGTAATGATCATTGAACATATTACTGGAAACAACTACCAAAGTATACAATTCAAGTGGTTGAAGCCCAAATGATTCTAATAGGTAAAAATGCTGCTACTTGATCGTAAACTAATGCTCGTCACCTTTTTTTTTTTTAAAAAAAAAAAGAATTGTTACTTTGAAATTTAGAGTGAGTGGTTTCATCACAAGGTTGCTGCGCTCATTTTGATTAGATGTATCCACCTTTGCATCAGCATAGGACATAAATCATCAAAGTAATATCCTTTTCTATCCAAGCAAAGGAAACCGTTTTGAAATATCCAATGGTTCAATAACTCAAAAGATTAATTTATCTGATGCAAAGTTGAAGTTAACACTATTGTGTAAGAATTATTCCGCTTACTTGTGAAAGGACAGCAGCTGCTAATTGCAAACTTGGCTCCAAAGTCTCAGGAACAACCTGTTGAAATATTTAACATTATTCATACAAGTTTGATCAAGTCTGGTGCAAATTTACCAGGAATATGGTTCCTAATCTCGTCATATGTTCACAGCTTAAACAACCGATTTCTGAAGTTCAATATCATTATTATTCAAAAACTACTATTATTGGAAATTACAAATTATCCGTTGATCTGTTTCTCTTTTACAAATTACACATCAAGAGGGTGGGTCAGGTAAATACTAAATACAAATCTCAAGGGAATGTCCATAACACGTTGAGGGTTATTTTGTAATTTTGACAGAAGACTAAAGTTTTTCTGTAATTAGGTTAAATTCACCCCCCACATTAAACATCTGTTTAATATATGAAACATACCGCTGTTGCCCCAGCTTTCTCTAAATTTAGGCCATGATCAACATCATGAGCACGGACAAATGTTTTGACATTGGGGAAATACTTGCTCAAAGCCCAAACAGTTCTGTAATTAGCTCCAGGACTATCTAGAGTTACTGCTGCTGCACATGCTCTTTCTGCGCCAACTTTATGGAGAACCTGCACCCACATAAATTAAGTAAGAATAAGCCTAGAACTTTTAAAGATTAGTTATGAATTTTACCCAAGATTTACGATGTATCCCTTGAGGTTTGTAAAAGAGACTAATATTTAGGGGCATTTGTAATTTTTGGAGGAGAGATGAGATTTTGTTAATTAGGCAAACCCCCTCAATGGTAATTTTTGTTGTCAACTCAATATTTTTAATAAGCCATTGTGAGATACAGTCTAACCTACCTCCCGACTACCGGCATCACCAAAGTACACAGGAAGGTCAAGTGAACGCCCAGTTGCTACTCGGTCACTGGTAATCAAAGTTAAGAAAAGCATATAATTGCCAAGAAAGAGTGCCAGCTCATCTATGTTGACCATCATTGAGTAAGTGAAGTCAGTCTTCACATATCGACTTTCCAGAGACACTTGTCATCAAATTATACATTATAGGTAAAGAGGGAAGGGAAATAGTAGTACCTCCTGACATCAAGGGCAACAAATGGGATCAGTCGTTCAGAGAGAAGCTGAGCAATAATCTGAAACATTCAAGTGAAAATCAGATTCATGAGGTGAAAATTTTGATCTTGAGATTCATAGACTAGGTTGACATGTATTATAGCAGTATTAATGCATCTTGAAGGTTGTACATTACCTGCCCAACACGTCCAAATCCACATATAATTATATGATCTTGCAAATCATCTGTCTGAATAAATTCAAGGAAAAAGAAAATTATTGTACTTCATATTGGGAAATTAGGAAAATATAAACTAAGGTGAAGCAAACAGTTTTCTCATTTATGGCTGTTCCAACAGAATGGAGCTCTAATTAGTAGGCAACTTGAGCAGATAGAATATAAAACAAGAATGTCATATCTTAATTCTTAAGAATATTCTATTATATTGTGATCTATGATTTAGCATAACTATAACTACCAACAATATGCCACCTAAGAAAACCGTGCTCACAATTCACGGGACATATTCTAGAAATTACGAACTTGAAAGACACAAGATACCATCAAAACACAGAAGGTGAACCATAAAAGTTACTTTGTTATTTGATAAAGCCAGATTGAAGGCCAAACCCTGGTGCCGCGAATTATAAACTAACCCCACCATGTAATCTATTTGCAGTTGAGAGAAAGAACGGTGTCTAAAGAGGTCAGGGCAACAGATTATCTGAATAAGTCAAAGAGGCAGCTCACCTCACTTTCAACAGGTAACAGACTTCGAACATCGTGCAGCTCAAAACGAGATGCTATTAATTGACCTCCAGCAGCTAACCACGGAGTCAGAGCCATCGAAATCCCAACTACAAGAAATAGGAGCGATGACAACTGCGAGGACATTATTCCCTGCAAAGAAGGAGAAATCTTGATGAATTGTCTGAAATGATGATATATTCCATTCACAGCCCGTTTGTTCCAGAAACTGGTCTGCTATCACCTAAGCTCCACCAAGATATGAAAATAACTTGACTAGAAAAGCATGCAGTTCACAAAGAAAACTAACTGCAGTGAAACAATGAAGGAAAGTGAGCAAACAAATGCTCAGGCTCAATCATAGTGCTGTGAGGTGAAGAGAGAGAGAGAGAGAGAGAGAGAGAGAGAGAGAGATGAATAAAACACTACTAAAATTGAGAACCTTATATCTAAAACTTTACGCTTACTAGTTCAGTAGTTTGGATTTGACTCAACTGAAAACTTGATGAACATATAAATCGAGGGTGAATCTCGGGGCAGCAACATGACTCTTTGGAGTTTATTCTTTGTTTGCACACATCAGAGCAATGAATATAAATCATACAATGATGATAGCAGGCCTAATATGATGAAGAAACCTGGTTAACAGCTTCCCCAAAGGCTACAAAAGCAAATTCTCCTCCCGGTGCAAGTAGAAGACCAACTCGTATCGCCGATACCAGTGAAATACCAAAAAGTCTCCCAACAAGAGCAATCAAAATAGTTTTTCCAGCAAGAAGAAGCCCTAATATCCCTGAGATTGCTGGGAAGTTTGAAAGAAGAAGTTTCGGATCAATGGACATTCCAACCTGTGAACAAGTAGAAGTGTAGAACTTACCATAAGCAATAAGTTGTAAAGAATTAAACATAATAGTCAATATAAAGAGAAAAATCATACTAATCAGGTGCAATATAAAGAGAAAGTACAATCAAATGGATCATTTGCAGAATGCATGCATAAAGAATGGGCGGGAGCTATGGGTTACAGAGGCAAGATTTTAATAGATATGAAATAAACCAAGGATATTAAATATATTCACCTGTGGCTTAATATAACATATGCTGAACTTTAATCTAATACATGGTCATCAGAGCCACCATACCGTCATGAAGAAGAGACCTAACAGAAGTCCACGATATGGAGCAATATCAGATTCAACCTGCAATGAGAATTCTGTTTCTGCTAGAAGCAAACCAGCCAAAAATGCTCCTAAAGCCATGGAAAGCCCAGCCTGTTATCAAAATAAGATTAGACCATATTGATACTCATTGGACAAAATGAAAGAAGTATTTCACCATGATGAGAGTTAAACTAAAAGATACTAAACCAAAAGATACTAGAAGATGAGTTACTCACCCTGGCAGTTAGAAGACTAGTACCTAAGATAACAAGAAGAGTATTTGCAGAAAATATTTCTGCATTCTGATTTTCAGCAATTTGCTTATAAATTGGGCGAAGCAGCTGCACAAGAGAAAAAAAAAAAGGAAATGAAATTGATTTTGTGTGCAAAAATAAGGTGGGGCCAAAATATGAAGTGTATCAAAAAATAATGAAATCGTATTTTTACAAACTAGGTAGCTATGAAGTATAAACAAAAACAATTTACATTGTCCAAAAGTGATTCTAGTAGAAAATAGGATCCCACCAACAGAAGCAGGGGATGTGCAAGGCCATTATGAATTAGAATACTTACCAAGCGTCCTCCTGCTATTATGGCTGAGATGGCAATAACAGCCTTCACGGCAGCCAACCCAAGAGCTTCAGCAATGGCTTGACATCCCACCTGGAAGCAACAAATATTTTGGTTAGTCAAACAGAACCAGTGTATTTTTCTGTTTAGCAAGAGTTTGATGAACCACCATGAGGAAGCATTCTGATATCCACTCCTAAAACCAATCTAGTATTCTGTGATCTTACTTCTATTAGCATGAGGACTCAATAAGAAAATATAGAAGCGTACAGACAGATATAAATTTTTTTTAAAAGAAAAATGCCTTATAAACTGGCCTTACAAACTCTAGCACCAGAAGAGATAGGTATGTTGTGATAAAATGGTTTATTCGGCTAAGTCAGAGAGAGAGAGAGAGAGAGATTAAATAAAAAAAATTGTTACCCCTCCTTTAGATGAACTAGGTGAAACAAGCGGTATCAGTATAAGCAAAACCACGACAGCCAAATCCTGTAATCAGTTTAGAGATTGCACAAATGTTCACTAACAGAAAGTAATATGAAATGATAAACAATAAGAATAGCGCAATTACAGTGGAGAAGTAATGGAAAGACATACAGTAACAATAGAAAAGATACCTGAAAGAGTAATACAGAAAATGTAGCTCGCCCATGGCGTGATGTACTCTCACCACGTTCCTGCAAGACCTATAGAAGCCCAGATATATTAACATTAAATGCTTCAGTGATTGCTAAAGTTAGGAACCCCTGGTAAGTTGCTCATAATTTATATTCAAGAAAAATAAACAAAACCAGATGGATAAACAAATCAAAAGTAGGGAACATAATAAACTCCCACACAATTAACAACCTAGAATAGAATAATGTATTTTACCTGAAGGACAACAGCAGTTGAGGATAATGCAAGTCCATTGCCAACGACAATCGCCGCAGGACCAGCCAGACCAGCAGCATAATGAGCAAGCAAGCCTACGACACCAGCTGTCACTAAGACCTGCATAAAGAAGAATTTGCTCTTTTTTATGTCATGATCTTGATAGATCTTCAAGTTTGCAGTTACAAGAATGTGCAGGTCCAAATCACCTGGGCAGAGCCCAAACCAAAAACATATTTCTTCATGGAACTTAGTCTTTCAACAGAGAGCTGCATAACAGAATAGAGTATAGATCATCTACCAGTTCGCAAATAGCTATAAGGTAGAGGCTAAATGGTTTCAAGGCCTTAAAATTTAGAAGTTCCTCAACTCTACCTCAAGTCCAATATTAAATAGCAAGAAGACAACACCAAATTCAGCAATTGCCTTAGTTCCATGTACATTGCGAATGATAGAGAGGCCATAAGGTCCAATTAAAATTCCAGCAGCCAAATATCCAAGAACTGGACTGCCTACAATAACAACATAATCAGTGACTGACATCATAATGTACATGTATATTGCTTAGAATGAGACAAGGACTTGGAAACAAATGTATACTGCTAAAAATCACAAGTGGGGCCAAAACTATGAAAAGTAGCTAGTTGAAATATGTAGCATTAGAAATACCAAGGCAGTAATTATTATCAAATAAGATTATGCACACAATGCAATCACTTGACTATATAAAGATCAGACTAATTATCAATCTGGTGTAACTTATTTCGTATCTGACAAACCAATAGGTATTGGGAGCAAGCACACTCAAATTCCATTCACCTCCGGGTATTTTCTGGAAAATGGGCACAAATATGACACTTGCAAGAAGTAACCACAACATGTCCAACAGGGACGCTTCCTCCTCGTGTACCTGTGGGGGGCAGGGACAAGGAAAAAATTAACTCAAGCAATGATATAGTTTCATTAAGGAGGCACAAATTAACAAGCTCACATCTAAAATAGACAAATGAAAAGTGAACTGAAGTCATGCCTCTTGATGGGGAAGCATCTCCATTAGTTTCTTCACTTTGGCAGGAAGTTTCCTCATCTCTTTAACCAGAGGCTTTGCACTAGTTGATACTTCATCAATGCTAGTGGAGATGATATCAGGCTGATGGAATAGCTGATAAAACCTTTCACGCCGTTTCACATAGAAAGCAATTCTGTGATCAATTTCGGCAGCATACAAAAAATCAGTATGTTTTGTAATTCACACATAGAAAACAAAAGAGGCACATTTTTCATTTTGAGGGAACTAGTTTTAACTTCATTAATTAGTCGAAAGCAAGTATATGAGTAATTTATTTTAGTGCAAAGGACCCTGGAAATGTCCAGTTTGAATTCAGTATACCCGGCTCCTAAAAGTAGTGACGCGAAAACCAGCTTTGGCAACTGCTTTCTAGCAGACTCCAAAAGACCACGAAAAACTGAACCTGGCGTAAACTCTTCCTCATCCGCATCAAAAGAGAAGAAAGATGCAGAAAAGAAACGGGATGACTTCTTCAGTAATGCCTTTGGAGTGCCTAAAGGTGAACTTTCCTTTGTTGATTCCTTCTGCATTTCTTGTATCTTACTCTGAATAGTTTTTAACTTCTTCGCATCAGCTTCAATCTCCACAGGTATCTTTCCATTCACTATCTCATTCTCCTCCGACAAACTTATTTCATCCAACTGGGAACCAGGTGAAGGTTCAAGTGATCCTGCAGCATCAGATGGAAATTCCCTGTCTGCCTCCACAACACTATCCGCAGAACTTCCTCGAGACATCTCACCGGCACTAGTTCCCTCAACTCCAGAATCTAGTGTGCCTGTACTGGAAAGAGCAAGGTTCTTTTCAGCCCTTTGCAGTGCAATTTCAGCATCATCAACACGCTGTGCAGCCTCTAGCTCGTGGGCCACGGCTTGCTCTGCTGAAAGCATTATGTTTGCCACATCTTCCTCGGCTTTAGAAGCATCAAATTGTACTTGCTCAGCCACTGCATTCAACCTCTCCAATTCCTTTTGCAATTCTTCTTTTCTGCTCTGCACCCTTCTGAGCTCAGCCTCGTAATTTGCTAGATGTTGTTGAGATTCTTTTATGTCCTGCTGTGCAGCCAAAAGTGCTTCCTCCTCACTTGATTCTTCTCCCCTTCCATACTCGGAATCAAGTTCAGTAGAAGCTTTAGTGGACCCATTGGTTTCTTTTGCAAGTTTTAGCGAATCAATAGTAACTTGAAGTCTAGACTCGGCCAAAGAGAGGGCCATTGTTGCTTCCTGAACAGCTTCTTTGGCTATAGCTTCTTCATTTACAACCTCTTGGATATTACCAAGGGCAGTATTTACGTTATCCCAAGCATTTTTAGCTTCATCCTTCAATGCTATAGCAGCTTCTGTTATCGTATGAGCTTTTTCCTCAAATATTGTACTGCTTAGACGAGCAATATCTAAATCTTTCAATGCCTTCCGCAACAATTCCCTCAATTCATCCAAACTGGGAGTGTCAACTCCTTCTTCAGCTGACATTTCCCCTGAGGCAGTAGAATCAAGGGCATTGCCAACAGTCTCAACGGCTTCTGCATCTCTGCCATTTCCATTTACATAAGCAGCTGATCCATTTCTGTGACACCGTGATAGGCTCGCCTGCTTTGAAATTTTAGGAATACCGCCAGTGTCTTTAAAGGAAGAACCATTAAAACCATAACACCAAAACCGGAGATTGCCCTCATTAAGAGTACTTGGCATGGCCGAACTATAAGAATGTGAACTTTGTTTCTTTAACTTCTTTGGTGATTTTTCTTTTAAGAAAAGTCTTGAATCTCCAAAAAAATTGCAGTGTGAATGCCCGTATTTCAGCGTTTCCAGTCCCCTGCAACCAGAGACTTCGCCCCCATAAAACACATTCAACCGAGACAGATTACATGTAACATCCATCATTCCTTTCTAGTAAGAGCAAGTACTCATCAACACGTTTAACCTGAGTGAAGAAAAAGAAAAGATAGTGTCAAATAATCTAATCTTCAACAGCCTACAATAATGTAAAGAACTGAAACGTATTTTCTCCAGTACTGCACTCTCATCAAGATCATTTAGTCACAGACACCATCTACTATAGTCTCCTTAATACAGCCACTATGCACGGACACATGCCAAAATGCAGAAATTCAAATGCATGAATCTTCAAACTCTTTCAGCACCCTTTCAGAACATCAGCAGAGCGTTTATCTTGTATGTGACATAAACTAGCATTCAGTATATGCTCGCAGATCATGTTTTACGCACTGCTGTTCGTTCACAAAACATTCACGCTATAAGACATCAAATAAATCGTACTGAAACTGCAGAAATTCATAACAATACAAGTCAGACATAGATTTTCAGTTACAATTACTCACTACTTCCTCGCCGAATAAAACACATAGGCGAAAAATGCTAGACACGAAAAGGTCAAATCAAACACGTTATTCGCATCAATCTCAACTGCAAAAACTCACAACAATACCAGTCAGACAGAGATTCTCAGTTCCAATTACTCACTACTTCCTTGCCGAACCAAAAAAAACACTCAACTCTAAAAATTAACAAAACTAGACACGAAAGGTCGAATCAAACACATGTTATTCGTATCAAACTCAGCTTAAAAAATTCGTAACAATACCAGTCAGACAGAGATTATCAGTTCCAATTACTCGCTACTTCCTCGCCGAACCAAAAACATTGGCGAAAAAAGCTCAACCCAAAAGTTAACAAAACTAGACTTGAAAATTCGAATCAAACGCATGTTATTGGCATCAACTTCAGCTCCAAAAATCATGAAGAAAAAAAAAAATCTACGCACACACATACACATACCGAACTTCAAACAGAGCCCGAGTCATGAAGCATGATGAAAAAGAGCAAAAATGGCAATCGAGAGACTGTATGCGTGAGAGAGAGTGAAGATGGGAGCCAAGCTGACCCACGCAGAGCGTTAAGGAGGAAAACGTGAAACGTGGAGCTGAGGCTAACAGAAAAATGGAGGCGGAGATAGTTAAAAGGGGTGAGAAACTGACGGAGGTGATAACGGAGCTGTCTTTGTGAAAGGGCGAATTTTGACGGCGGTGTACTTGCCGTTTCCTCCGTTTGAGAAGGTGAAGAAGAAAAATTTAATTATATAGAACATATAATGGAGTCTTTTATTACTAAAAATGGTTATTCGCCGATTGGATAAATTTTTTTCTTCAAAAAATGGGAAATGCATTGAGCCCGGTGAATCTAATTTAGAACTTACTATTACGGTTTGTTTGGAAACACTCATAAATGGACTTTTAGATATAAAAATTACTAGTACAAATTAGAACATATTCAATGGACAAATGTTGTTATTACATAAATTTTGACATATGTCAATTAGTTAGATGAATTGTGGACCACATAAGATAATTGTTAAATTCACAACATTAAATCTAAAAAATCTATTCTATTATTATATAAAAAGAATAACCTTTTTACAAATTTAGAAACTTTTTCCCGCCAAAATCATTAAATATATCCTATATATAGTAATTGTTGGATAAATCTGAATAGGCAAAAAAACCCGTTCATTAATTGTGTAAAGTTTTGTTTCTCTTTTCCCTGTTTCTTAGTTTATCGTTTTAACAATAAATATTTGTTTTTCTTTTTTCTATTTTTAGTATAAATCTACACGAACTTATCTCTTCTGTTACAAAATCCCATTGCATACGATTTTAGGTGTTTAAAAAATCTCATCTCTTATCTATACAGATTTGAAAAAATAAAATAAAATAGAAATCAATTCATAATTACTACTAGAAATCCATTATCTTTAAAAAGAAAAAATAAAATAAAATAGAAACCAATTCATAATTACTACTAGAAATCTATTATCTACTTTAAGAAGCTAATTTTCATCGGTCTAATTACTAATGTTTTTACAAATATTCTAAGCTAACCATACAAAAAAATATAATGATAATTTTGAAATGGTGTGTAATCAAATTTTTTTATATTCTCTTATACAAAATCATTTTACATTGTTTGATCCCGAATCTTTAATTTATAATTATTAAGTATTGTTTATCCTCCTCTTTTATTTATAATTATTTTTTTTTTTCTTCCTCTTTTTAAATACGATCAATAATAGCTTTCACTTCCGCCATTGACTCAAACTCGAGGTCTATTTATAATATTGTTAATTTAATATTATTCCCGTGCATCGCACGGGATACACACTAGTTATCTCAAATGCACAATGTAATCAAACACAATATTGTCCATTTAGCCAAAATAAACAAACTATAAGTGTGAATGAAAATAAATTAAATAATTAAATATTTTAAAAATGGTAATGATATTTCTCCCTCCTCTCCTTCCTCTCTCCATTGGTTAGCTAGAATGTGAAAAAACTATATTATTCTCTACATTGTATTATATATACATTGTATAGAACAAAATCTACTCCATATCCAGCCACTCTTATGCACCATAATAGGAACAAATATAGAATGGTAACTCCATGATATCGATTTCTTGCGAACAAGATTGTATACAATAAAATTATCAACTCTGATGGTTGATATATAGCGATACCCCTTAATGTATCGTATCGCGCAGTAGAACAAAATATGATCGCTTTATAAGTACACACATGGTGAATAGGTTCCATCAACAACTCATCGGATAGACAGTCTGTTGGCAAACGTGTTATATGGAAAGTGAGTTTGGTGATAACACATATGATACTGACACATCGGATGCTTTGGATTGAAAAGTAATTCAAGCGGCCGAAGTTGATGAAATAGCAGAGGCCATTAAAAAAAGGAGTGATGAGCAATAATTGTGATTCAAGTATTTGGTTAAAAATATTTTTGATTTATCAAGCAGAGCAACCATATCTGTTGTCTTGTAGAATTGCCTCAATATATTGATGGATGACTGATCTCGGCTGTCTTAACCTAGAAATGGATGAAAGGTGTTCCAAAAACACAGTCAGGTAAGGCAAACTTTATTAAAAAATATATTAAGGTGATTATAAGAACTTCGAAAGTTGACCGTGTTATCAGGAACACCTTTCATCCATTCGAGGTTAAGACAATCAATATCAGTCACCAATATATAGAGACAATTCTACAAGACAACAAATATGGTTGCTCTACTTGGTAAATCAAATTGTTCCTAACTAAAAACTTGAATCATGAAANNNNAAACCTTGGCCAAATTATTGCTCATCTCTCTTTTTTTTAATGGCCTCAACTATTTCATCAACTTCGACCGCTTGAACTGCTTTCCAATTCAAAGCATCCGATGCGTCCGTATCATACATGTTATCACCAAACTCACCTTCCATATAAGGTTTGCCATCCGATGTGTCGGTCGGCCTCTTCCTTCTACACCTCCTCGGGTAGAATAATCTGCATATTGTTGCCAAACAACGTTGAGATATGGTGGGGAAAAATTGAAAATTTGACCTAAAAAAATCTACAAAAATACTTGTTAAAGTACAAATTAATTATTATATACACTAGTTTGTTCACGGCTGTGCACAACCGGAACCAAATAAGTTTATAAACAATAGTAACAAATTTATAATCTGCATAAATTACAAAAACTGAGATATTGTAATGCGTAACAAAAATGGTCAAATTTATGTGCAACAAAAGAACATATTAGAGATACCTCAAAATAAATACTCCATCAGTCAACTCGCATAAACAATGGGCAGTTGGAATTAGTTGCATTGATGATATAAACCATCACCAATGTTGTTGTTGTTGTTGGTGATATAAACCATCACCATCTGTTAATAAACACTTACTAGTATAACACCCATGTATTACATGGGTGGGGACGATGTCTCATCCCGTCATAAAAGTGGGATGGGTATGCGGACAAGTTAAATCCAAGATCGTTCCGGACCGCGCCCACCCCTACCATAAATAATCAACATATTTATAGATAATCCAAACCTATCCAAGCACCATAAATGATCAACATATTTATAGATAATCCAAACCTATCCAAGCCTAATAATGAAGCATGTAATTTTGCCACATAGGATCCCGAAGCATGCGAGACTGCCACATAGGCTCAACACGTTCTCAATTAATATATAGGGGGGATTTTAGTTTCCTCGCGGCATATAAGTGAGAGAGTTCATAAAAAGCAAGTTTGCAAATTACATCAGCACCTTTCTCCTTGAATTTCAGAACCTTCGTCAACCAATAAACTTGCATAAACAATGGCACTTGGACTATGCTGCATTCAACACTTCTTTAAGTTTACTGGTGGCACATAAGATAGAGATAGTTCACAAAACGCAAGTTCACATAAATTGTCACAACTCACAACACAGATACACAGTTACTAATAACTTCCNACCAAAAAAAAAAAAAAAAAAAATTGAAAAATAAGGTCCAAACTCCAAATAAAATCAAGACAAAGAGCATTGCAAATTTGCAATTCAAAACCAGATAACATATTTATCATCATTTCCCTTTTAAGTCTGTGGTTGCGGCTTTTCGAACTCCTCCGGTTCTGGATCGGGCTCAGACTTGGTCTCATTAATGGGCTCGGGCTTGGTTTCGGGCCTTTCGGCTTCCGGCTGGTCCGAATCCTCAGGCTGAACAGCACTCTTTTTATGGGCCGCGGCAGCCTGGAGGACATGTTGGTAATTACCCTTCTCCAAGAACAGCTGCTGGAAATGGACCTTGCAGTAGAGGATCCCATCCAAAGCAGCATAAGATGAGTGTGTGAGTGGGCAGCCAGCATGGGCACATTTGAAGCATGACTTGTGAAATGATTCTCCTTCCATTGTCACCTGTTATTTTTTGACCATAATTTAATCAAAATCTAATACATTTATCAATCCAAATTGGTCACAAGATTTTAATCCTTTGCAATCCAACATAATCTAACCTTCTCCAAAGGATAAACAGTCTTGCTGCAAGCAGGGCATTTATCTTGTGTCCCAGAGAACATTTCTGAGAGTTTGCTGGGTGCCCTTGACTGCACATAATTTATGCAAAATTATCTAATGAGTAAAAAGAACTAGCAATCGATTGAAAAAATGTAGCTAAACGGTTTTACGACGTACCATAGAATTGTCCCTCTCGTGCTTAGCTGATCGAACAATAGAATGGCAACATTCGGTGAAAATCCAAATAACAAAAAACAATAACAAATGTATTAGTGGGGAAAAAAAATAAAATTGGAAGGACTCACCATTTTGGAAATTCTTGCTAAAGTTTCCAGATTCCTTGAAGAGTTGTTCAAAGTGAGGCTTGCAGTAAAGAACACCATCCATGGAGGAATAGTTGCTCATCTGCAAAAAACGTGGATAACATAAAAATAAAGAAGCGTACATATTTTACGGTAAAGTGTCGTATTTATTAGTACAATTATTCCAACCGTTTATAAAAGGTGCGAATGCAACATTTCATAATAAAACTTAGCAATTTTCTAGATTTTTGTTCAGAGGGTACGACTTTAATATGTCGAGATTTAAATCGCCTTTTCCATTTTAGAACCTACGAATAAAAAAAAAAAAAAGATAAGCGCTCACCACAAGAGTTCCTTTGCAGTGGCTGCATTTGAAGCATGATTTGTGATATGTTGTCCCATCAGCACTCAATAAATCAACAAAATAAACAGTTTTGTCACAAGCCTTGCACTTGTCCAGTGTCCCTGTGAATGAAGCCATTTTTTTTCTTGCCCGTTTGGCCCTTATCCAATATTTGCTCTTGTTTCTTCAAATACTTATTTTTGTTTTCTTAAAATTTTATAAGTAACTTCTCAACAACCATATGAAACTCAAAGGTCAGAATTAGGGATCAAATATTGAAAAACAAAATGCTAACAGTTGAATTTTCCTAGCTCCTGGTGATTTCTATCTAAAAGGTCCACAGATATTGAGAGACTAAACAACAACAGTTAATCTGGTTTGTGTTGTTTTATCAGCATTTGGAAAACTTGACTATTTTTTAATCCTTTTTTGCCGAGCCGACACGTGATTGGAGATCCCATAATTATGAAACAAATGAAGGATTTATATTTAATAGTACTGTGAAAAGAATTGGATGGAGGCCTATTTGTCTGGAGAGAAAATAGGAAGATGTTTGTTACCTTCTCCAATGAATATTTGAGGGAGTGATTTTTGGGGGGAAACATTCCTTTGTTTACCACAAAAAAGAGAGAGAGAACTATATGAAATAAACAGTTAAGGATAAATTTAATATAAATATTTAAAGTATATTAGTAGACATGTTAAAGGTTTTTAACCGAACTGCCAAACCGGTACAGTTAACTGCAGTTCGGATTAAACCGTAACCGAAATTGTGGTCTGGCGTTCATTTATAGTTTGCAAAATTACCGGAACTTAAATCGAACTGGAATCGGCTATTAACCGCTGTTTTGGCCATAAAAAGTTAGAATATCACTTGTGAGTTGTCCCAAATCGTTTATACAGGAAAAATAGACCTAATTTATAAGTCTAATGGACTATTCATCTTTCCACCAATTGGTTTTGGGATGAAACCTACTTGGGCTTCATATGGGCTTTTCCCCGTTCATGGGGCGCCACTTGGCTTCATATGAGCTTTTCCCCAAAATAAATAAATAAACAGGCGAAACCAGACAAATTGCCCGTCTTTTTTTTCAAAAAAAAAAAAAAACAGCGGTTTCTGCTGATTTTTTTATCCGTATAACATTAAGAAAACAATTGAAAACCGGCAGTTCGAACCGGAATCAGGCAGTCAGTTTGAATTTGTAGTTTGCTCGTCAAGTTGAGCTTGAATTTATACTTTGCAGACTCAAACTCAAGCTCGAGTAATTGTTTCTCACTTTCTCAATAGGACACAATTCAAAGCCAATAGTCAGGAAGAGCTCTAGATATAAACTGAGTTTGCAAATATAACTGAGGCTAAAAGAGATAAAATAAGGTCTAGATAATGTCATAGCATGATTATGCAACAATGGCAGCTGATTGATTAACTGTCGGGTGACGTTAGCAAAGCTTCGTCGGTCTTTATGATATCTTCAGGCACCAAAACCCTAAAAACCACATAGTGATGGTTCAAGCTTCTTTCTCCTTGCAGCCTGTGAACACTCCCTAGGCCACCATCGTTCGGGTTCGGGAATGCATAAAACACGCGCCTTATTCTCTGATGCACAATTGCCATTGAACACCTAATTCCGAACAGTAAGAATTTTCTAAAAACTAGCTGAAAAATTAGAAATCTAAAATACACCCCATAATTCTAAATTCTTGTAGAGAGAGAAAGCGAGAGAGAGAGAGAGGCTCACATAATGCAGGGCTCCCACACAAAGTAGATATCATATCCGGTACATAAATAAGGTCTTGTTGAGTCACAATGTGAACTACTAACCATTTTCTCATCATCCTCAACCTAAAATCGAAAAAGTAGAAAATGTAAATGCTAAAGCAGATGACAAAAATTTGCATCTTAAGCCTATAAATAACTCACAATATTATACCTTTTGTCTTTTCAAGGACACCTCACCATTTTCTTGGTCCGACACTAAGCTATGTCCCTCCAAAGGGAAAAGAAGTCTATCTCTTGCAGCAGAATTTTCTATAGCCGCAATTGCAGCATGCCGTAAAGGGTGCCAAGAATCACAAGTCAAATCAGAAGGTTTTTCGAGCCAACCCAAAGGATGCAAACAAGCGACATTCTTATAAGAATAATGCTTTTCTTCATTGGACGAGGATTTTTCTTCTCGAAATTTTTCGGAACAGTTTGCGAGAAAATTGCAAGGCTGGACCAGGTCGCACGAGCTACCTATAATCTTTTCAGTTGAAGGATCAACTATAATAGCGGAATTCACAACCTGGTAAGAGGAGTTTGGTCAAATTGCCTCGAAATAACCTTAAAGGCCAAGATGAAAATTGGCTAGTCCACTTCAGATGATTAGTCAAACAGGGCTTTTTCTTTTTTAACACGGACACGTACAAAATTCCAGCAGCATACTAATTTCACGAAAGAGAATTAAGAGAGAACATAAAATTGTTCGTCTTACTTTCTCTGTTTAGTCACGATTTGCTGTTCCGTAAAATATCTACTTCACCAAACCAATAGACATTATTAATGAAAAAAAATGTCAATACGAATAACCTGTAGTTAATTAACTAAGGTAATAATTATGAGGTTATCTGATTGCGAACAAGAAAATGATGCACAGGCTTCACAGATTTTTTTTTTCTTCTATTTACCACCTTGATTAAATTATAATACATTGAAACTGACGAGCTATTCCATTCTTAAACTAAAAACGAAAGAAAGAAACAGTTAAGAGGATCTTTCTAATGGAACTTGATTATAGTTCAACTAGGTCCAACTTTGGAAGAGCTGTGTGCAGCATACTCTGAGCAGTTAGCATTTACCAAAGGACCAGATTTTGCCAAACGAATTGCAAGTTTCATGAAGTTGAATACTGATAATGACCCTTCTTCGCTAAATCCAGTTATGCCATCAATATTGCTGTGACAGGAAGAAAAATTAAGTACTTTGCAGTTTAAAATTCTTCAAAACACTGTAGATTGACATTTTCATCATCTTACTAGGTGGGTGGATGAAAAGAAGTCGGCCACAACTTGCATTGTTCTGCCCATTCTTCTTTCGTTGATGCAGCATATTTGCACACCTGAATCAAATGGGCTCATTGTGAAACCAAAAAATATGGAAAATATGAATTTCAG